CTGGAGAGTCGAGAGACGATCGAAATTTTCGGTAAGGGCCCTCGTGAAGGGGGTCGAGATTGAGTTCCAGCAGGATACAGGCGCAGAGGTAAGCCTGCTGAGGAGAGAGGATTGCAGTCGCGCTGGCGTAAGAATGTCGCAGCGCCGACAGCAAGTAAGCACAGTGCTGGGTTCAGGATCACTACCCGTGACGGACCCGGTACCGGTAACCGTGCACGGCGAGACGACGAAGTAGAGTTCGCGACCAACCGTCGGTCCCGAACCTCCTGGGGAGGGTAGAATTGGAGCGGTTTGATTGAGAGAAGGTCCGGGAAGGTTTTCGTGCAGCTAGGTGTTGACGCCTAGCGGGACACACTTAATTCGTAGCGATAGTCAAGAGTTCCCGATACATTTCCCTAAAAATGGATTTGACAAGTGGACCAAGTTATCAGGACTTGACGAAGGCTTTGGTGGGTACCCCTTTTTTGAGATAGCAGACGTCGACGGGAACGCCACAGTTCCCTAGGCGGCGAAGGCCGGTATGTTGTGCCCAGGCGGCGAGTGCCCAGTCGTCAGCGTGTGCGACGTGTCCACACCAGTTGCACTTGTGGTATAGACACTTGCGCATAGATGTTTGTTTGCGACAAGTATCAGTTGCATCGGGGACGTAGTAGAGCCAGTCATTGGCTAGGTGGAAGACGAAACGTGGTTCAGCGGCGAGGAGGTTGCTGGAGCCGAGCAAGGAAAACTCAAGACGACCAGACTCAAAGAGACGACGTACTGTGTCACCGACGTCCAAAACGGCGGTTGTGGGTGTTGGCATCTCGACAACGCGGACTTCGTCTGCGTAGTACCCCGTGTTCGTGGCGTATCGGAAGTTGTTCGTGTCATACATTCCGTAGTGATGACTGGCTGCCGCTCGCACACGCAAGGCGGTTTGGCCCGCTCCGACCACCGTCACGTTCGTTTGTCCCGAGTAGTCCGGTCGTGACCGGACGTTTTGGGTGGCGCCACTTTGTGGGGCGCCGCTTTGTGGGGCGCCGCTTTGTTGGGTGCCACTTTGTGGGGCGCTAGTATCTGCGGGGAGGAGCGAGATGGCGTCGTTCCAGAAAACGTAGGGTGTGGTATAGGCGTTGTCGATGGACCGTGTGCCACGGGCGAAGCCGCGGCGGTCCTGGGAAGGGAGTCTGTTGAAGCGGTTACGATTATCTTGGCCGGGTGCACGACCGTGGCCCATGAGGTCGGTGAGGGTGGCGGTGGTTGCAGTGGTGGTCTCGTCCAGGTCCTGATATCTTGCGGTGTTATTTACGTCGTCGGGGATGGTGGAGCGGAAACGGTCGGCTTCGAACGCGGGATCTGCGGGTGGGCCGGCAGTGGATACTTTCAGAAGCACATCTACAATCTGCGCTTTAACCGTACCCGGTGGGAAGGCATGTCGAGGCAACACCACTGTGCCCACCGGCCCCTCGGCGAAGACCGTAGCCATCAAAGACGCCGCAAAAACCGTGGTTATTGGTACACGGCAGTACACCATAAACGATTGTGCAGCCAACGTCACTGGATCACAATCAAAGTCCCGCGCACCGCAGAACGAGTAACAGCCCCGAACACACGAATTATCACGTACCGTCTCACGTCCACTCGCGGCCACGAAGAATGACTTCTTGTATCGGGCACCCGCACAGTATACGTGTGGCCGCCGCAACTCCTCCACGTGCACAACGTAGTCCGTCGCCGAGACGTAACTCATCTTGTGGTAGTCCCATGAAGACCCGAACACCTGCAACGGACCCACTCCTTTCTGACACACACGACTATGTGCATCCACGTCAGCGTGTCCACCCAGACTCGTGTGTGCACCCATACGCGCGGCCGGAAACTCGGTGTGCGCAACAGACTCGCGCGGCACGCGATCCCCCGTACGCTCCGACACAAAGTGATCGGCCACAGCCACTCCTCCGCTTGCACCCACGCCCGCTGCAACGTACGCGCCCGTCCCATTCCGCACCGGTCCACCACCACTACCACCTGTAACCGCTAGCGTGGCCGGGCCGAGCTGATACCACCCCTCAGCATCGAACCCAACTTCCACCGTTCGAAACGCACGGTCTGCATACTCCGGCGCGAAGTACTTCCCAATACACACCCAACCACACAGCAACCAAATCGCACCCCACATTTTTCTGACCCTCCCGATCAAATAATAATAGAATAGAAGACACCCCCCCCCCCCGCCCCAATCCCGAATCCCTTTTTTTCCTCGTGTCCAACCTAATTGAGTATTTCAATAATTCCCGAACACCTCGAGGACTACTGACCAGAGCCTGCTCTACGTTTCCGCTCTGGTCTTTCCAAGCGGATGACCACACCAAGAAGGAAGCGGTCCAAGTGTTACAATGAAGAGGCTGGCCACATCGGGATCTTGTACAGCACAGCCTCTTGGTCCGTCGAGTCTGGACCCGTTCCGAAGCATAAGATCTCCGAACGAAACTGGCGCTAGCAAGCGGCAGTGGTTGGCACCTCTACGAGATATTCCCCCCCCCCTCTTCACTCAGGAGGGCGTAGACGAAGTATTGAGAAACGAAAGCCCAGAGCTGCCGGTTATGCGGACGGAGACGGGTCCGATAGCGGCCGTGGCTTCCTCCGCATATCCGGCAGCTTGGCCTTTCGTATCCCAAATACTGAACGGCTGCCGTAGAGACCTGATTTCAAGACCTAATATCAAGACCTAACTAATATCAAGACCTTGTCAGTATGATGCTTATTGGCCCTCGACTACCCGCGAAACGCAGTCACTAAATTAATTTTTAAAGAGCATTAGTACTGCTGTGTTATGGCTTCGAGTTGAGGGTCCTCACTTTGCTTAAACCTTGTCCTGGTGTACCTGGAACGTTGGGCCTGGCTGGCCGCACCTGGAACGTTGGGCCTGGCTGGCCGTACCTGGAACGTTGGGCCTGGCTGGCCGCACCTGGAACGTTGGGCCTGGCTGGCCGTACCTGGAACGTTGGGCCTGGCTGGCCGTACCTGGAACGTTGGGCCTGGCTGGCCGTACCTTCCCACCTCTA